CTGAAATACGGTTTCGTGGATCGGAAATTGCCGTATTACAAGTACTTGCCGGAAGCCGTTCTCGAAAATGATCGCGCCAGGCTCTATTGGGACCGGGCACAGTCAAGGATATTTTTGGTCGACATTACCATTCCGTGTGACGAGAACCTCGTGAAAGCCGAAACAGATAAGCAAACAAAATATCTGGACCTGACTCACGAGGTGACCGACAAGTGGGGTGGTCTGCCGACCGAAATTATTCCTGTAGTCGTCTCTGCAAACGGGCTAATCCCAGTCAGCCTCTCGGGTCATCTGAGGCGGCTAGGACTACGTGGCGGACCGCTCCAGGCTCAAATGCAGAAGGCGGTGCTCCTCGATACCGCCCGCATCGTCCGACGGTTTCTTTCCCTTTCCCCCCTAACCCTCGTCCGTTTGGTCTCCCCTGCCGAGGGCCTCCATCTGGTAGGGCTTTTATTTATATATGTATTTTTGTATTTATTTTATGTTATTGTTATTTATGTATATTTATCTTTTCATTTCCATTTATAATTATATATTTATAGAACCCAACCAGATGAGAAAACTATATTGATACGATACCCCCACATAATAATAATAGCCTTTATTCAGATCAACTTAACCTAATAACAATATTCTAAAGCAAACATAAAACTTAATCTAATATTTGCTGCTTTTTTATCTTTTGTAGATCTGTTTGCCAATCGGCAAAAGCCTTCTCCAACCTCTTCCATTCTGATCTTTCTTGAGCCACTCTGTTCCACATTACTCCTGCTACTTCTCTTATATCGTCGTCCCATCTTTTCTGCGGTCTGCCTCTTTTCCTTTTTCCTTCCCTGGGATACCATCTTGTCACCTTCTTACTCCATTTGTCATGACCTCTTATTGTGAACCCCCGAATTATACATGCTTATTTATTTTCCATGTAGTGGCAGCATAGCAAAATGCACTCCGCCATGTCATTTCGTAGACGTAATAAAAGGCAATAGGCGACGGGCAGCAGCATCTTCCTGATAACAACTCAAAATTATAAAAAGTGATTCAAAGCCTTCATTTTGCGTGACGATACCAATCAAAATAGTATACAAAATAATAGACAAGTATTTAACAGACATTGAGCATGACATAACCCTCTTTAAGAATAGTCCCTACGCCATATCTTCCCGTGGATGTAACAGAAAGAAAGAAGAAGAAATAAAATAGTGTCTAAGGGTGGTGCCAAAACATAGGGACCAATTCACCATGATGTCAGGTTGGAAACTTAATGCTGATTTCCTATTGGCTCCCTGAATTGCAATTATCTTCACCTCTGAAACCAGTTACCGTTATGTGGTAAGAGACGATAGAGGTAAACAAACCATGACTGGCAGCAATGTCTTTCTTATAATAACTAAAAAAATTAAAAAAAAACGGCGGTTGCCAACCCGCCTGCCCAGCATGGCAACTATGGCAAATATCCTTACATTGAAATAATCTCGTTAACACGTATAATACCTAGACCACCGCCAAACTGTGATCGTCAGTTCAGCTGCGAAGCGTGACGATACCTGCCTACAACGGGAGAAGCCTATTTTCGGAATATTTTTAATAGTATAAGGGTGACTACACAGTCTACTTGATAATAAGTTGCGTTGTCACCTCCGAGGACGAAGATGTTATGTCTCGTTTCCAGTAAAAAAGGTCTCTGGTTCAAATAAAACAAAATAAAATATAAGAGTTAATAAATTAATAAATTATTATTCTTCCTACTTTACAAAATTAACAATAAGAATACTAGAAAGTGAAATAAACAGAACGTTGGCAATTCGTCGTAAATAAATAAACAACTAAATAAGTTACCGCTGATACAACGCTTCGCTAGAGTAATATCAAACGCTGCTCAATTTTCAGATGCCGTTAATTCCCGTGCTGTCTTTATCCCTTTAAGTTAAAGTGACTGTGACACCACGAGACATCCAAAATTTGAGTAGGTAGCGTTTGAGTATTTGGCCATGAGAACTTTACAAAAATATTCCAGTGATGCGCCGTCATATTATTTACGAAATATGTATATCGTAAGCGGAATCGTGTCGTACGTTTTAAAAGACGACGCCATTCCGTTTAAAAGGGTGAACGTTCCTAAAGGTGTTAAAATAAAATTAAGGTCAACGCTTCAAAAACATCAGTATGAGCTGAAATGACAGCATTAATAAGAAATAATAGGGGTTGGCGGAGAAACAAATTGTTTCAATTTAAATAATTACTTTTTATTTTGCCTTGCATCATTGCAGGAATTGAACGCGATAACTCTGTTGGCATTGGAATGAAAATTAAACATGATGTATAAACACTTGTCAGTACAAGTATGTGATAACTACGATCGAAAATTGAAAAATATAGACTTGCCTTCTAAATAATATCATTTTTATTATTTAAGAAATCTTGGTAAGTAAAACAATAGACCGTGTAGTGACAGTGCAAGAATATCCACCACATCATACCGTCCCGTGGGTGGAATTAGAGGCGACAGAAATAAACCAGGAGACGGAGAGCAGCGTCTTCCTTATAACAAATAAAAAAACCTTGCTAATTCGTATTGTCAAGCTGTCGATGATAGTAGTGTTGCGCGAATAAGTCGACGTCATGTATCCGGCACTAGCGCCATCTAGTGTCAGGGACGAGAGCGAGGGGAGCTTTCCAGAAAATGGCATCACTAATCTTTCAACCGACAGCGCCATCTAGTCTCGGAACGAAGAACTAAGCTTCTAGAAGTTGACACTCGAACTCTGGGCCACTTGCGCGTGTTTACTTGAATATTCTGGATGTTTCGGTGCTATTTGTATTTATAGGCGCTGCAAGATGCGATCGGAGAAGTATTGAATTTGGCGAGACAAGCGAAGCTTCGGAGCGAAATAAAGTGAATTAGTGTGCTTAATTATTAGTGTTTTAAGTTTTAATTTGTGTAAAGAAAATTAAAGCGTTAATTTAGGTAATTCTATCGGCAATTTTTATTGTCACGAACCTCAAGCTCGTAACAGTAGATACTCGTAGTCTATGAGACACTGCATAAGCCTCATGTCATTTTTGAGAGGATAAAAAAAACTTAGATGAAATTTCTTTCTAACTGAAATTGCACTACCTCTGTTACTCTTTTAACCGCAACAGCATTTGGCATACTCCTGCTTGACGGCAGAAAAAGGCAAGAGTTTAGTAAAAAATTCTAAAAGGGATATTTTACCGTGCTGTAGATTAAAGTAAAAGGGGAAATATAACCTCAAATAGCTTAGCAAGATCCTCCGTTATGCCGAAAATATTGCAGCATTAATTTTGAAATGAATATATGGTAAAGTTGAGGATTAATGTTAAGGACTATGTTAGACGAAAACACGATTCCGTAAAATTTTCTCAATAGAAAAAAAATCCAAAATTATCTCCAAAATAAACAATAAACCGCCGTTATTCATAAAATACTTGAAATAAGATCATGGAACTTTGAATACTAACTGAACTAATAAAGCAGTGCTTATGTTATTTACTTTTTTTTTAAATACCATTATTTTCACTGTAAAAAGAAATTACCTAAACTATCGGCTTTTTGAAGCTTGATTCCTGCCGCCCGGTCAGTTTCGCTTCGGCCTTTGAAGGGGAGGTTGGGTCGCTCACGATCAGAATACACATTACGCAACAGGACGACGTAAAATTAAAATGGGAAATAACCGTAATAAAAATAAGAAGCGACTGGGTTGCCGTTAAGAAACAGGCATAAATATGATAAACCTAATGAAATAAGTATCTAACTTACGACCTATCTACTTACAGTATTAGTGATTACAAACATGTCGGTACATAGCATACGACGCGCGGGGAAGTGAGGGTGTAATTAGAATTTGAACTGACTTACTATATCCTCTTAAGAATGATATACTTATAATGGAATCATCATCATCAATACAGCCATTCATAAGTCCACTACTGAACATAGGCCTCTCTAAGAAATGCCAAAAAGCACGGTCCTGAGCCAACTACATCAATCGGTTCCTATTAACCTGGTCCTCACTACATCTTGGAGGGGGGTCCTTGTAATAGAAAACACCATGTAGTGGTTTAAGAATATCCATTTACCTATTTCATCTCATGGGGGTCGTAAGAGGCGACAAATGGAAACTGAATGAGAACATGGGCAGCAGCTTATTCCTGATAACACTCAAAGTAATTTAAAAAAATGTGGTTGCCAAATGCCAACCCAGGCGGGTGTGATACCAACTCAAGCACGACGACTATTGGAAAATACCTCTATGAATCAAACTATGGAGGTAAGGGGGGTGCTCTATTTTTGACGTTTATAGACAGTAATTTAAAAAAAAAGAATATTAACAATGCTATAAACATTACTAATATTCCCCTTAACCACTCATGGTAAGCTTAAATTGCTTGTGTTACAAGTGGTTCACGCCAGTAGTCGAATGGTGGATTCGAACCCACGACCTTTTTGAGTTCGCGGTCCGCGCCCTGCCATTAGGCTACCGTCGCTTTAAAAAATTGATGGATAGATATAACCTATGCTTCAAACACGTAGCTTGGGCTGTAAGCAAATTGTTACATCATAGAAGGGCTTAACTAGAATTGAACTCAATCCCACAACCTCGGTCAAGTAGGCAGAATAGTTTCGTCATTTTCTTTTGTCTTTATAATAACTGTTAAATTTGATTTATGACATTGTGTAAAAACTGAAACATGTTCACTCAGATTTTATCAACAAAAAATAAACACGAATAACATTGTATAAGTTTCTATTGAACATAAGTAACAGATTAATTAGCCAATGTTTAATTTAAATCTAACCTAAAACATACATTTGATATGTTTTATACAAATAAAAAAAACAAACAGTCTATTGTAAACAGTTACTACAAATTACAGTATAAATTACTTTACTGTTTTGTTTCATAAACCACAAATATTTAATTAAGGTGGCCAAATCACCCTTGTTATGAAGTCTAGGCAGCTATATAGAAATATAACTTCTAGTAAACCGTTTGTCCTGGCCTCAGCCTAATAATTTCCGGATGGTTCGGATCCCCATTACCTCTGACAACGTAAACTGTGCGAATAGATTGGTCTTTATCGTATTCATCGTAATTATCGTTATATCCTTTGTAATTATCGAAATACAGATTATTGTTATTATTGTAGTTGTAGTTATGATCAAACAATGGAATTGTGGTTTGATATTTGTTATAGTCTATGTACTGATTGCTTAGAGCATTGGGGAATACGAATCCTCTTGGATTTCTTACAGAATCTTCGACTCTGATGTTATCGTTGTGAGAGATTTCTGGGAATTTAAAATGTTTCCCGACTTTTACATCATTAATCTTAATAATGTTATTGCTTGGTTCTGGAAAAGACCATTTTGTGCTATAATCATTGACGTTTCCAAAACTTATATCGTCATCCAAATCTTCTAAGACCTTTTCTGGTCTGTTTTGAATTCGCTTTTCAATTTTGTTCGTGTCATGAGCAAGCTTGTTTGTATTTTTGAACTTTATGTTATTTATAAGGCCATATTTATTTTGTCTATTTGGATTAATAACCCCATACCTTCCATAGTTATAGATGTAGTTAGCGTTTTGTAAATTATAATCTTGAATTAGATTTTGTTGATAATTTTGATTGATATCATTGGAAAGTCCAATATTTTGCGGATATGAATGAACTTGTTGATAACTTTGATAGTTTTGTGAAAGGTGATTATACAGTTGGTTGATATTTTGTGGTTCTCGATGAGGAGCGTTAAAAAATCTGAAGAAACCTCCGTTATGGTTATTAAGGTAGTAAACTAATTGTTCGGGATCTGTTGGACATAGTGAATATGCATAACGACAGGAAGCAGGATTGTTCTTCGATGACATTCCAAGCAAAGCTGCTCGGCCAAAGACAAACAGTGGATTGGAGCTAATGCCGCTATATGCTGACAGTAATCTGAAAAGGAATGAAATCAATAATAAAAATAGCGTTTAGAAAATTAAAGTAAACAAAATTACACAGCCTTTATACGTCCCACTGCTGGGCACAAATCTGCCTCATTTTCAGAGTGTTACGGCGAAATTATTCCCCGCGTTGCTCTGGTAGGAAGTACGTCCTTGGAATATTTTATTCCATAGACATACAGTTTTCCTCATGTTTTTCCTTCACCGCGAAGCACGTGGAAAATCAGCACTTAAAATTTCAATCAACAAGTTCATTAATGCATTTAAGAATCAAATAAAACACACAGCATTTCATAAGTAAAAGCAGTAAACAGGTGATAAGGGTGATGGGAGCGTTGGGAAGCAGTATCGCCGGAGGCAAGATCGGCATCACACTCACTAACCCGACAGCCAGACGGTGAGTGACTGTGATTAATGGCGAGGTTACATGGTAAGACTCCGTTTCTGCATAATAACCCAGACGAACTCCTAGGCCTGTAGTTATCATGAGTGTAATCCTTACTATTTTATTTACGTATTGCACAAGTGTAATCCCTAGTATTCTAGGGATTACACTTGTGATAATTACAGGTCAGGAGGCGTTGCATACTAATAATATTATTAATTACCACCAATAAAGTTACAGTGAGCAAGTACACACAGAATTACATAGTGTAGTAATGAATGGGCTCTAGCTCAGCATAAATGTTGCAGTTGCCTACAACGCTGTTATTCTGCCAGCGCTCAACAAATGAAGAGTACAGTACGCGCGCATCCCTGCTTTATTACATTTAATCACAACTGTTCACATTAGAGTACATCTCGTGGTTTCCCAAGTATTAGCGAGTATTAGCCAGTTCAAATTAGTAATTAAGAAATATTTTTAATTATCATAATTTTTTCCATAAAATTTATATTTCTTATCCTCAGAGGTGATAACATATCTGTTAGCCTTTTTGTTTGAAGTTGCCTGCAGATGTCTATGGACAACTGCAGGCATTTATCACCAGGTGGACTGTAAGTTTGTTTGTCACCTCAGTTTTATAAAAAAAAGTCTTACCAGTTATTTATGCCAATTGGTGCATTTATCTCGTAAGCTTCGTCAACGAAGACTAAGAATTTCTCAGTCTTCGCAATGATTTTACGTGGTAGAGCCACGATGCAGCTGAGTTATTGGTGCAGCCAAATATGTAATAAGGAGAGTACAACGCTCGAACAGAACACCAACGTTAAATATCAGTTCAATGCTGCTCTGTTTAATATGTTATGTTGACGTATCATTATACGATCGTTTCGAATGATGTTACTCTATACAAGACTCGTAGGTTTCTTCTGTTAATATTTAATTCAGTTAAGGGGAAATATAACCTCAAATGGCTTAGCAAGATCCTCCGTTATGCCGAAAATATTGCAGAATTAATTTTGAAATAAATATATCGTAAAGTTGAGGATTAATGTTAAGAACTATGTTAGACGAAAACACGATTCCGTAAAATTTTCTCGATAGAAAAAAAATCCAAAGTTACCTCCAAAATAAACAATAAACCACTGTTATTCATAAAATACTTTAAATAAGATCATGAAACTTTGCATATGTAAATACTACATATATAAAGCAGTGCTTATGTTATTTACTTTTTTTAAAATACCATTATTTTCACTGTAAGAAGAAATTACCTAAACTATCGGCTTCTTGAAGCTTGATTCCTGCCGCTCCGTCAGTCAGTATTGCCGTTTTAGCGACTTTCTCGCTAGATCTAGCGGATTTTAATAATGATTAGCGGATAAAAAAATCGTTTTAGCGAGAAATAATTATTTAGCGACTTCTAGCGACATTTGGACTTTTGAGATGGCGACTTTTTTTAAAAAGTAGTTCATTTAAGTAATTCATTCAAATAAGTAATTTATCATATGTCCAATTTTGTAATCTACCGTTGGTAACACATACAGTGTTACCTATACAATATAATTTCACGAGAATTCCCGAACATAAACTACCAATTCAATGTCGTTCATTCACTTTCATCTGTTTCGACCTTAGACCATGGTCTCGTTTCGACATACAAAAATGCAGCAGGAGTAAACATACTGGAAGATTTATTTAATTTTGCAATAGTAATATTATCACTACCGCACTCAAATGCAGAATTTGAACGCGTATTTGGTGCTATGAATGTAGTTAAAAGAAAACCGCAAAACAAGCTATCAGAAAAACTTTACTATTCTTCTGATTAGAAATCAGTTAGGGATTTAAAAAAGAATTGCGCAACAAATGATATTCCCGAAGATGTTGTCAACCAAGTCGATAAAGGCAAACCAAAGATGGGAACTGAAGACACTGGCGAAGCTTCAACTTCCGCTGAAGTTGTTTTTGAAGATCTGGATCCATAATTTGCTATTAATTTTGAAATTTAGGTACAAGAACCTACTGAGCTAATTGTTTTATTTTTAATAAGATGACTAATGTTTAAACGTGGTTTAAAGATTTAAGATTTATTTTTTTTACAATTTATTTTTTTATTTTGTACATGAATAATTTTTGTTTTGGTTGTCATATCATTAGCCTACACCATAAATAACTGATTTATATGTCGAATTTATAGATTTAGATTTTCGGTATTCATTGACCGTTTGGCAAGATTTTTCAGTTAGCCCAATGGTACCACAAAATATACCTAGGGATATCTAGCGGATTTTAAGAAAAAGAAAAATCCTGTTTCTGGCGGATTTTTTCTGTTAGTCTAGGGACTTTAAAATTTGTAGAACGGCAACCCTGCCGTCAGTTTCAGTCAGTTTCGCTTCGGCCTTTGAAGGGGGAGGTTGTGTCGCTTACGGTTAGAATATACATTACGCAACAGGACGACGTAAAATTAAAATGGGAAATAACCGTGATAAAAATAAAAAGCGACTCGGTTGGCGTTAAGAAACAGGCATAAATATGATAAACCTAATGAAATAAGTATCTAACGACCTATCTACTTAAAGTATTAGTGATTACAAACATGTCGGTAGATAGCATACGACGCGCGGGGAAGTGGGGGCGAAATTAGAATTTGAGCTGACTTACTATATCCTCTTAATACGTAATAAATCTAAACCATCAATAAGTTGACAATACCCACATGAACGGTACCCTTTTCGCGTGACAGTAAATACAAAACCGTTAGCTGTAACTTTTAATTGGGTTAGATATAATTTTTACTAACGGACCGTTATGGTTGGTCATTTAAAGTTCCCTCACGTCTTAGTTCAGCGTCCGCCGACTTGATGCGTGATAAATGACTGGCGTAGGGCGTCCGTCCTGCCACCATTAATATTGTGAAATGGGTTTAAACTAGGTCGAACGATTCTCTTGTATCGGACTTTGTTATAATAAATAATAATGTCTTCCAGACCGAATTCCGGTTACGGCGGCCAATCTTACGTGGGCCTAGTAATTTAATTATAGATTTTAGACAGCATTATAGCGCACGAGTGCGAAAGCACAGATGAACTCTCTATTCCCTCACTCTCATAGTGCGATGGAACGATAATCCGACACGACTGGAGAGAGATCAGGCGCCGAATGTAAAATTCGAATGTATTTTCCGCGGCGCCGGGGTGAATCATCACCATCTTCCTGACTCTGGGCTGCTACTGAGAATTTTTTGACAGTGAAACTCAATAACTGATTTTGGCCCGACCCTGCATTCAAACACGGGACTTCATAATCAGCAACCGCGTTTACTACCACTAGACCAACGAGACAGATGTTATAATATCGTGAAATAGAACTGACAGAAGTCTGCAGTCTTTTAATACGATTGTCCCCGTTATTACATCAGACACTAAGGAACATCGATTCCTACTACAGATGATTCGCGAGTCTATAATTTAAAAAAAAAACACATTCAAATTTCAATAGACCAAAACCAATGCAAGACTCTCCAAATACGTTCTACGTAAATCGGTACAAAACGTTATTCAAAAGCTGAAGCTGAGCTGAATCATTTTACTTAATTCTATTGATCTACTCATTCTATTTTCTATAAAACTCTGAATCTCTTAATCTTAAACGTGTAAAACCACAAACAAAAAAAATACTTTTATACGTGCTAGAGTCACACCGCAGCTATATTATAGATTTAGTACGAACGGATCGGCTGGACCTGGGCAGGACCATCCTCTCACAGAATACCAGCGTAAAATAGAAGCTTAATACTGCTGTTTTGTACGTCGAGTGTAGGGAACCAGAGATCTATTTTACTAGACACGAGACATTCCATCTCAGTCCTCGAAGTAATAACGCATCTGTATTTTGATTCTTAATCGAGGTTAAATGTAGATGGGCCACAGCATCCACTTACCGTCAGGTAGACTGAGTTTTCCTTTTTACCCTTATTCTATAAAAGAAAGCAGCAGGTGCTGTAAAGCACCCGATTGTCGGGAATTAAAAACAAGTAAAAGTAAAATTAAACGCGACACATAAATGTGTATGTAGAACTGCAAAATAATTATTTTAACAACATTATTTATTAATCATGGTATATAACATTATTATCAGTCCATTTATCTTCGATTAAGAATCAAAATGCAGATGCATTGTCACCCCTGAGGATTAAGATTGAATACCTCGTTTCTAGTAAAAAAGGGTCTCCGGATCTCTACACTCACATACGAAACAAAGCAGTATTAAGCTGCTATTTTATGTTGGTGTTCTGTGAAAGCATGGTCCCTCCCCGGTCGAGCTGACCCATTCGTGCTACAACCATAGCTGCAGCGTGGCTCTACCACGTATATAAAATAATAAATATTGAAATAAAAACGAGCTTTGTACGCAGAAGTACACTATTGAACATTGCCCTCTTTCGTTAATAGGGATGAATTCCCTTAACGAATACAGGTAGAGTGACAATATAAGAATATAGAATACAGCCCATCGCCACCTTGGAATTTTTATGTATTGCAATTTAACTATTTTTACCTCTTTGTTAAATAAAAATATTACAAGTTTAAGGTAACAACTAGAAAGTCGTGTAAATAGTTATATTGAAACACAATTCCTTATGTTTCGATCCTTAGGAGTGATTCTGTCTTACAATTTATATGGGACCACGTTAGTATTTAAGGGAACCTATACAATAAAAAACCTAGTAAAGTAAAGTTACAGCCTTCTTAGAGGGTTTTAGGGCAAGCAGTGCGTGTTGGCGGACTTCACATGACATAATTTTTTTAATTTCTCAGACATGCAAGTTTCCTCACGATGTTTTCTTCATTTCCGAACACATGGTAAATCAGCATTTAAAATTGCAGTTATCAATTTTATTGGTGCCGACGGGGATTTAACTCAGGTTGCTCGCGTACTGTGCTAACCCGGCTATAACCTATTTAATAACAATTATTTCATAAACCAAGAAGTAACGGCCGTACATGCATAAAAATTAATTTACAGATAACTTGAAAATCCTCATACTTTTTTTAAAGTCGATTAAAATGATATATTAAATAGCCGTAGAGATAGTGTCTGCGCCTAGCATTTTTATAGAGCAATGCTTTGGTCCGTTTTCGATACAGTTTAATTCCATGAGGCATATAGCTACATTAAGTCACAGAATACTTATTATACTTAAATACTCAATACTTAATACCGAATACTTATACTTAAAAATATATCTTCCTGCCCATACTCTTCCAACCAGAAGTAGCAATTGCTTGGATCACACGATCCTAAGAACAAAGTCTCCCACTCTTATTTTTGTCTATGGCTCCACAGTAACTGTGATCACTGTTCCACATTACACTCAATGTGTACGAACAGTCCCAAATTCAATCATTACGACTAAGAGGGGCGACTAATAGTCGATCCTGGTAATGGTTGAATTGATTTCACTATTACAACTGGACTTAGCCCTTCTTTTCTCCATAAGAAATGCAAATATAGCTACCGACAAACTCATTCCATTAGTAACTTCCGCCATTTCTGATAAGAAAACACAAGTTTGCGCGTTAACCGCTAAAAAGAACCCCTTTGTTATCCCCTCAGTTTCAAGGCACACCCCTTGTTGCCTCAGCCAGTATCGGAATCCTCGGCGTCGACATATCGAGTGACGTGTAGTTTTGTGGTCACTTGGAAGGGAAGGCCAAATTGGCCTCTAAAAAGCTTGGCGTGCTCAGCAGAGCGGGACAGTATTTCATGCCGGCACACCGCCTGCAACTTTACAAGGCGTAGGTTCGGCCGCACATGGAATACTGTTCCCATCTCTGGGCTGGGGCTCCCCAGTACCAGCTCCTTTCCACTTGACCGCATCCAGCGCAGAGCGGCTCGAATTGTCGACGACTGAGTGCTTTCCGATCGGCTCGATTCACTGGCGCTGCGAAGAGATGTTGCATCTCTTTGCGTATTTTATCGCATCTATCACGGGGAGTGCTCTGAGGAATTGTTCGGATTAATCCCAGTCGCCAAATTTCGTGAACGCACTACACGGCAAACGTCCCGATACCATCCACACCATCTGGATGCTTGGCGGTCCACCACTGTACGTTTCACAAGGAGTTTTATTCCACGTACAACCTCTCTGTGGAATAGTTTACCACCGGCGATTTTTCCGACCGATACGACCTGGGGACCTTCAAGAAAAGAGCTTACTCCTTTCTAAAGGGCCGGCAACGCACCCGCAATTCTCCTGGTGTTGCGGTTGATCATGGGCGGCGGTAGTCACTTAACATCAGGTGAGCCGCATGCTCGTTTGCCCCTTCTTCTATAAAAAAAAACATGACAGTTTTTTATTTTTATTTTTATTCATATAGCTTACTAACAGTCAACTTACACAATAACAATCTTAAAAACCAGAAAATTTTCTTAAGCTAAGTCTAACATTATGTTTTATAGACAGTACAAATGATTTAATGCCCCACCCATGTACTACAATCATCATCATCATCATCATTACAGCACTTCACAAGTCCACTGCTGAACGTAGGCCTCCCCCAAGGCATGACACAAAGCACGATAATTGATAGAATCAGACGTTACTTTGTGAAAATCCATTATAGTAAAGATCTTGAACGTTAATTCGTTCAAGGTAAAGATATTAATAGTTACTTTGCAACCTTCCTCTCAATTAATTAAAATGATTCCTCTCAATTAAATTAAACCAAATCCCAACACCACTACTCCCAACACCACTATTCTAGGAAAGACACCATCGACGATAATACGACAGGTGATGTAGACTCTACGGCGGCTGACCGCTAAGAATCTTATATGTTATATGATACTCATTAAACTTACGTAAGAAGTGGTTGTAACCCGGTGACTGATTGCAAAGTTTGCGAAGACCCTAGGGCTCCACCGCTTGCTGCTTCACAGAGAAGACGTGCTACACATTGCCTGTCATCATACAGTGCTATCGATGTTAGGGCTTCAGTGACGGACGATAGGGCTTCCGAAGCTAATGATGGTCTAGGGCGTGTCGGTGGTCCTAGAAAAAGATAAATATTGCTTAAAAATAAATTTAAAGTTATAATGTCAAACAGCTGGGCTCCTTTAATTTCTGCAAGGGCTTTAAGGCAAGGAAATATCCGTCGCGCTGCCCCAATCCGTGTATTTCACATGTCTTCGGAATATTTTTTTTATTTCTCAGTAATGCAGATTATCTAACGATGTTTTCCTTCACTATCACATACGTGCTAAATGAGCGCTTACGCAATTAACGATTTTATTGATGGCGGCGGTCATCGAACCCGGGTTGCTCGCATACTGTGAAATTTACAGCGAGCGCTTATTTCCTGAATTATTATACCACGACATGTTGCTTGAAACATATTTTTTAATACACTAACTTTTACGAATTTTTAATTGACAAGATTTCAGGTGATTTGCTATACTCATGGTCAAGAAGCGCAAAGGTACTTAGCTACAATGTATGTAGTAAGTCATTTTTATATACCTAATAAGGCTGAAAAACTAACATGCAGTCCAGCTGATGGTAAGTGGATGATGTGGCCCATAAACATCTACGTATCGATTGAGAATTATAATACAGATACGTTGTTACCCCTGAGGACTAAGATGAATAGCCTCGTTTCCAGTAAAAAGGGTCTCCCGTTCTCTACAAACACCATACGAAGTGCAGTAACATTAAACTGCTACTTTACGCTGGTAATCTGTGAGATCGTGGTCCCACCCCGGTCGAACCAACCCATACATATGTAACTGCAGTGTGGCTCTACCACATATAAAATTTATCCTCGATTAAAAATCAAAATGAGAGATAAGAAAAAAAGCCTCTTTTATTTCATGAACTTACAAGTTTCTTTACGATGTTTTTTGTCGCCATCGAACACGTAGTAAATCGTTGATTTACTGGGTGTTCGTTTTTTTTTTTGTTTCCTTAAGTGATCTCCAAAACATGTGGTTCCAAAATGATGGTTGCCCAGCACATTATGCCCGTCCTGTGCGAGAATATTTAAATCAAGAGTATCCAGGGCGTTGAATCGGGCGACTTGGTCCTATCTTATGGTTACCCCGTTTACCCGATTTGACCCCCCTGGACTTCTTCTATTGGGGTTGTCTTAAAAACAGGGTCTACTCAAAACTCATTGCGACATTGGACGAGCTTCGTCGAAATATCACTCAGGCTGCTGATTTAATAGCAGAAGATATGCAAGACAAAAAAACGACCATTTTTAAGGCGATGTCGTGCATGTATTAATGCTGGTGGCAAACAGTTCGAACATTTGCTATAATGTTAATAACTTAATAAATTACACGCGAAACTGTTTGTACCATTTGTTTTGAAATATTAAACATTTTCAAGAACTAATACTTTTATTACACCCGACCGTCATTTGGCCCCTGTTTAGAAATAATAGGCCCATATTTTTTCTTATTCCATTGTTAATTTCCATTGTTTTCCTAGAGTATTATACCATTTTGGAATGTTGGTTAGTTGCGTCAATTTTTAAAAAAACTTGCCATACTAGTGTTCATACTTTTTTTTACACCACGATAAGTTAAAGTTGGTTAAAAGTAAAAGTCTTCAAAAAATTTAGGGAATAAAATAAGTTTCATTAATTTTCGTGATAAAACAAGAGTTATTCTGGATTTTTTAAGAATTGTGGTAGATAGCAGTGCTATTCAGGTTGCTTATAAAAAAAAGAAACAAATATTAAAAAAAATTGTAGTCATGGTAGTGAGTAAAATATCATAAACGGTCTCAATTTCTGAAGAATTTAATTTTTTTATATAACTTAAAATATAATTGGGATATATTTTTTTTTCTTTTTTTTCCCCGATTAGTCCGAGGCAGGTCTATACTCCGGTGTTGGCTTATCGTTGAATTTTGGGACATGTTGTATATATATATAAGAAAAAAAGATAAAAAATATAAAATTAAAGTTACAAACGAAATTATAGTCTACCTGATGGTAAGTGGCTGCAGCAGCCCATGGACCTCTGCAGCCAACTTACAACGAAGCAGCTACGGATGCACTGTCACCTCTAAGAATTTAGATGGAGTGTTGAACACAACTGTGCCAGCACCGCTATATGGCGCTAGAAATTAGTGAGAGGGTGGCACTTAACCAGACGCTGAGTCCAAAGCTGAAATAGACTCCGATCAACTAATAAAATATAACCCAATGTCACGCTAACCTGAAGAAACTAAACTATTATAGATGAAAAATATTTTTTTTTTCATTTTAACTTACTGTATATAGGTCCAGGAAATCCAGTATTGTACAACGGGCGAGCCCCATAAGATATCTGAGGAAAATTTGGCGCATATGGATCAACATACTCTGGACTAATTCCTTCTGGCCTTTGAAGTCTTGGCTTACGTCTTCTCTTCCTCCGCTTCTGGTGACCTTCAGAAGCACCATTATCTTCAAATATCGGTCTATAGCCTTGGTCATCATTATCCTGTTTGAATACTTGGGAGTTAGCAGTATTTTCCGGTGGAAATTTAACTTTTCTAAATGGCAGTTCTTCGTTGCGGTCAAAACTAACAAAGTCTGAATCATTTTCACCTTCGAATCTAATTCCATTACTAGAACGCTCTTGTGTTGTACTGTTTAAGTTAAAGTTATTCCTAAAAAAATGATCAAAAAATGATTACGGAACTATAGATTCCTATGATACGATTTAGCTCGTGCATTTTTTTAACTAAAGCGGCTAATGAATATCTGATGGTAAGTGGCTACTGCAGTTCACGGACACCTGCAGCCAACTTCAAACAAAGAAGACTACACATGCGCTACTCCTGAGGACTAAGATGGAATGCCTCACAGCCCGCAATTATTCTGGGCTCCCTATACCCTTTAGACCAGAACACAGCAGTACAGGCACTGAGATTTGGTGGCAGAAATAGGTACGGTGGTGCGGGTATACGCACACAGGTGGACTTCTGGACAGAAAAGGAGTCATTGTAGGACTCCTAGGAAACAAATGCAACCAAATTCTAAAATGCTGCTCTCACTTAATTCTCTTTATTATAATTATATACTGTATTATAGATTTTACCGTGTAGTGGCTGTGTAAAAATATCCACTACCTCATATCGTCCCGTGGACTGATATTGAAGACGGGTAGCCGCATCTTCTTGATAGGAACACAAAATTAAAAAAAAATACTTTGCCACCCACCTGCCAAGAGTAACAACTATGGTGAAATCTCCTTATGAGACGATCTATGAGGAGGCCTGTGTTGAACTTAGTTGAGTAGGCTTTAATATTACGTAGTAATGAATGGATGGAATATCATAATTCATAGAGATCTAGTAAAGTGGCATTCAACAATGGCATAAACATATCGAAAAATAATAGATCTAAAACAACAAGGACAGCCACCAAACATACCTAATATTTTAGAAGCCTGTGACCATCTTCTAATTGGCCCCAAATAACTCAACATAGCCCTCTGCCTTTGTAGACAGGATTTAGTATAATAACAATTTTTGGCATCGCAGGTGATAGCCGTACCTGAATGTCTTGCACCTTTGGCACTGCTCTTCATCATCAAAATATCAAAAGCGCATCTTTCTGGGCTACCAACTCCATTGTGATACGGACTCCTCAGTTCTGATTTGGCCATGAGGCCAGGAAAAAGCTTCTAAAAGCACCGGATTTCCTAGCCTCAGCGCCAAATTTGGTACCTATATGGCTCCTTCGACCACGGAGAGTAAAATTTGCAGCGCAAGTCATACCTACCAACACTACTCGCCTCGCAGTATTACCATTGCCATATACGGATGAGGCGAGTTGCGCATCGCCATACCAACACTTTTCTTCCACCGTGGCTTCACCGAATGCAAAGGGTCTACCAACACAACCACGGACCGGCCTAAGCCCCCTGCCACTACAAAGCTATTATTGAATTAATGTTAGCGTATTTTATAAATTTAAAGTTAAATTATATAAGTCTCACTGCTGGGTAGAGGCCTCTTCTTTTTTTTTTTGAGAGGTTTTTAGTGCAAGGAAGTGTCCACCGCGTTTTCCCAATGCGTGTTGGTGAACTTCACATGTCTTCGAAATGTTTTCCTTCACCACGGAGAACGTGTTAAATCATGACTTAAAATTGAAATTAACAATTTCATTGGCACCTACGGGGATCGATTCCGGTTAGCTCGCGTACTGTGAAATTTACAGCGAGTGCTAATCATCTGAGCTACGACGGTTCCACGGCGTATTTTATAATTACCTCAATAATTCACCTGGGTCGTAAAGCATCGTAGATATATTCTTACTATTCGAAAGCTCTTCACACGTGTAACACGAAAACAAGCTAATGAGTAGGACAAAACACGGAATCCCCATTTTGTGCGACCTAAAAATGAGAGAAACATTTTGTTTTAAAACCAAAAAGTATAATCTTTTTTGTGTTATGAAACTGCACTGACATACAAACCATTAGCTCATCTGATGATAAGTGGCTATCGCAGCCAATAGACAACCAGCAACCAGCCCCAGACAGAGAAGACTACAGTTGCGTTATAACCTTTGAGGACTAAGATGGAATTCCTCACAGCCTGCAATTATATGGTTCTCTATACCCTTCGTATCGGAACACAGTACTGCACGCACTGCTGCTTGAAGGCAAAAATAGGTAGGAGGAACTCCCATAACTCCACCATATACCACTATACCCCATATTAGGTAGGAGGAACTCCCATAACTCCACCATATACCACTATACCCTATATTAGGTAGGAGGAACTCCCATAACTCCACCATATACCACTATACCCCATATTAGGTAGGAGGAACTCCCATAACTCCACCATATACCACTATACCCCATATTAGGTAGGAGGAACTCTCATAACTCCACCATATACCACCATACCCCATATTAGGTAGGAGGAACTCCCATAACTCCACCATATACCACTATACCCTATATTAGGTAGGAGGAACTCCCATAACTCCACCATATACCACTATACCCCATTTAGGTAGGAGGAACTCCCATAACTCCACCATATACCACTATACCCCATATTAGTTAGGAGGAACTCCCATAACTCCACCATAAACCACTATACCCCATATTAGGTAGGAGGAACTCCCATAACTCCACCACATACCACTATACCCCATATTAGATAGGAGGAACTCCCATAACTCCACCATCTACCACTATACCCCATATTAGGATAAAACTAAGGGTAACAAACTAGCTCACGGTCTCCTAAAGTGCACGTTGTGGTTAATACACCAACGTTAATTGACAATTAATACTAAGTGATACAGCATAGCTGCAGCTATATTATGGTTGAAGCACGAACGAGTCGGCTCGACCAGGATAGGACCATGCTCTCACAGAATACCAATGTGAAATAGCAGCTTAATGGTGCTGTGTTACGTATGGTGAGCGTAGAATACCGTATACCCTTTTCTACTGGAAATAATGCATTCCATCATCTCAGGGGTGACAATGTATCTGCATTTTGATTCTTTATTGAGGAAGTCTATGGGCCTCAGGATTCACTTACCATAAGGTGGACTGTGTGCTCGTTCATCACTCTTATTCCATAGAAACAGACAGCTATTTCCATTCTCGATAAAGAATTAAAACTCAGACACGTTTTCACCCTGAGGACTAAAATGGGATGTTTCGTCTCAGAAAAATGGAGTCTCTGGTTCTCATCACTCATCATACAAAACACAGCAGTATTAAGCTGCTATATTATGCTAGTAATCTGTGAGAGCGTGATCCTCCCATGATCAAGCCAACCCATTCGTTGCAGCGTTGGAGCTCAGGGGCTAAACAGATGGCTAAGGGCTAAAAATATCTAAGTACGCGAGCATCCCGGATTCGATCCCAGCCGGCAACAATGAAATTGTTCATGGCAATTTTAATTTTCGATTTACCACGTGTTTGGCAGCGAAGGAAAAATATCGAGGAAAACTGCGGGTCTGAGAATTAACAAAAATATTTCGGAGACTTCTGAAATTTACCAACACTGTTATGGGCTTACTTGCCCTAAAAACATCCCAGAAATGAAAGGAAACTTGCGTCCAGTAGCGGGATGTATACAGGCTGTAACTTAAAGTAGGTACGTTTAAACACCTTCACTGTACAGTACAAATTTCTAGTCAATACATAGGGCTTTCAAAAAAAATCCGTAAACGCTATTCTTTTAATATATTTATTAATATCTATATTATTTTAAATTAAGAAGTAATAGTTACTACCTCACTATTTATTTTCCAGACAGCAGGTTTCCTCCTAATGTTTTCCTTCACTGCTTAGCTCGTAGTAAATCAGCACATAAAATTGCAATTAACAATTTTATTGGTGCTAGGGCGGATCGCACCAGGGTTGCTCGCGTACTATAAACAGCGAGCGCTCAACCCCTAAGCTATCACGGCACGTTTAATATTTTAACCATCAATTTATAGTACACATATATAGCTATAGATATAATATCGTTTAATAGTTCTTCTACATTTAAAAAATAATCTTTTAATTTTACTCACACTAGAAAAACACGGGTCCTAACACTAAAAGCACCAATCTCTGAATGAGCTTTCGCCAATCTCACCAGCCCGCGTTGACGATGGAAAGCAGCATGAGATCACGAATAATCCACTCATGTTTTCCTCAGAAGGAGCTTTATGACTTCACAATGCCATATCAAGGACATCCTGTTATGTTATAGTGACATATTAGGAAATATAATCGAAAGTGTTGTTTATACTATCTATATATCATTCTAATGAATTCTCTTATGTAACATTTTTGTAATTCTTAGGGTGACAAATGGATCTGTTGTAAATAAAATAAAAATAAATAAAATAAAAAAATAACACATGTCGATATAACAAGTAAATATTCTTACGTCGCCACTAGTATACTAGTATTAGTAGTAGTAGTACTATTAGTAGTATAGTTGTACATAGCACGAATGGGTCGGCCCGACCGGGGATGGACCACGCTCTCACAGAATACCAGTGTAAAATAATAGCTTAATGCTGCTGTGTTTCGTATAATGAGTGTGGAGAACCGGAGACCCTCTTCACTTGAAACGAGGCATTTCATCTTAGTCCTCACTTGTGACAACGCATCTGTATTTTGATTCGTAATCGAGGATAGATATAGATGTCTATGGGCCACAGCAACCACTTACCCTCAGGTGGACTGTGTGCTCGTTTGTCACCTTATCCTAAAAAAATAAGGTATATATATATATATATATATAAAATAGGATAGGATTAAGTACATCCCAATAAATGTACCCACTATGGATGCCCTCGACTTTTTCTGCCACCAGGCCTGCAAAACTTAGGAATAAGGTGTAATATTTGACAGATTTCATAGTGGGGGAAATAATTTTTGAAAAGTGTAAGTGTTAATGTTTCAATCTGAAATATTAGTTATATTTTATATCAATTCGATTGCAAATGGATTACATAATGATTTCTTATATTTACGTGAACACTACACATTGAAATAATACTAGTTTTTACGGAATTTATCGCGTATTTAACTTTTTAAATACCCGAGGTTTCGAACGCTTTACAGCACTCATGGTCACGGGCAGGACTGAGATGTTCAACGTCCATATGTCATAGTTAACCGCGGTTACCATAGATTAAAATTATATAGCGTTAAAGAACCTACGCAATAAACACGAACTTACGATTCTCCGCGCAGATAAGGGAAACGCCACGGTAGTCATGGATACGTCAGATTATAATTCTAAAATACAAGAACTTTTGTCGGATGTAAGTACTTATAAAAAGGTTAAAAACAACCCAACAAATAGCACACTAAAAACGACTAGTGACCTCATAAAGAAACACTCCGAAAAATTAAATCTGGACGTAAAATGGATAATACCTACGTGCGCCAAGTCACCAAAATTGTATGAGTTACCAAAAATACACAAGCCCAATGCTCCATTACGTCCCATAGTGAGCAAAATCGATTCACCAACTTACAGATTGGCTCAACACTTAGCGAAAATACTCTCACCACTCAGGGGACATACAAGAGCACATATAAAGGATTCCTACCATTTTGTCAGCGAGATTAAAGACCTACATCTGGCAGACAATGAAACTATGGTCAGTTTTGATGTGCAGTCATTGTTTACATACTTACCTGTTGAAGACTGCATCTCAATTGTAACTAGAAGGCTGGAAGAAAACAACATGCCCGTAGAATATGCAGTATTACTCAGACACTGCCTTACATCTGGCTACCTATTGTGGAAGGAGGAGTTCTACAAGCAAGTAGATGGTGTGGCGATGGGCTCACCTGTATCTCCCATTGTCGCCGACATATTCATGGAAGACTTTGAGGAGAAAGCCCTGCTTAGTTCTCCCATAAATCCAAGATTCTACAAGCGGTACGTAGACGACACTTTCACAATTCTACCTTTAGATAAAGTAACTGCATTTTTAGACCAATCTTAACTCTATAAATTCTAAAATTCAGTTCACAATGGAGTTAGAAGCAAACAATTCCTTAGCTTTTCTAGATGTGTTAGTAATTCGGAATCCTGATAACATCTTGAGCCATACTGTGTATAGAAAAAAGACCCATACAGATAGATATTTAAACGGTGATTCTCACCACCATCCTTCACAGTTAGCTACCGTGGGTAAATCTTTGTTTCAGAGAGCACGAGGGATCTGTGACAGTAAACACCTGGCTGCAGAGCTCCACCATGTCAAGCAAGTTTTGCATGAAAGCTTCGAGTCCCGCGCCTACGTCACAGTGAACGAGTGAAGCCGGCCACAGTCGAGCGTGTACCTGCTGTACTGCCTGCCACTGCCATATGTTAGACGAGTCACTGACAAGATTGGCTACATCTTGAAGCGCGCTTCCATCAAAACATACTTCAAGCCGCTGAAGAAGATTGGTCAGTTTTTACCATCGGTCAAGTGTAATGTCCCTCTGCAAGATGCAGGAGTGTACAAGCTTGATTGTGAATGTGGTCTCTCCTACATAGGACAAACTAAAAGATCAATAAAAACCCGCGTTAAAGAACATATAGCTGATGTGAAGAATCGACGCTCCGGGAAGTCTGCAGTCTGTGAACACGTACAGGATCGCCCCCGTCACTACATCAGATTTGATAGACCGCAGATCCTCGCTAAAGAACACTGATTCCTTCCAAGGATGATTCGCGAGGCTATTGAAATCAAAAAACATCCTAATTTCAATAGAGAAGATGGCTGGGTGCTACCATCTGCTTGGGATCCTATAATAAATAAAA